CCGCCCGCCACAACTAGAGAAAGCCCACGCACAGCAACAAAGACCCAACACAGCCAAAAATAAATAAATAAATAAATTTATTTTTAAAAACTGAAAGAGGGCTTCCCTGGTGGCACAGTGGTTAAGAATCCGCCTGCCAATGCAGGGGACTCAGATTCGAGCCCTGGTCCGGGAACATCCCACATGCCGCAGAGCAACTAAGCCCATGCGCCACAACTACTGAGCCTGCGCTCTAGAGCCCACGAGCCACAACTACTGAAGCCTGTGAGCCACAACTCCTGAAGCCCGCACGCCTAGAGCCGCAACAAGAGAAGCCACTGCAATGAGAAGCCACGCACAGCAACGAAGACCCAATGCAGCCAAAAATAAATAAATAAGTAAGTTAAATTTAAAAAAAAATAAAACTGAAAGAAGGGAGGAGAAATGACAGTTCAGACAATGGCTCTTTATTTTGGAGGCCAGTAGGTTGGGAAAGAAAATAAGCAAAGGAGATTTCCCATGAATCATAGATGAAAGCTTTGGAAAGGAAATCAGAAACACGCTGATCAGTACAGACAGCCTGGAGCGACACTGTCCAGTAGAAATGTAACACAAGCCACATAATGGGATTTAAAGTTTTTAGTAGCCCCATTTAAAAGATAGAGGGCTTCCCTGGTGGCGCAGTGGTTGAGAGTCCGCCTGCCGATGCAGGGGACGCGGGTTCGTGCCCCGGCCAGGGAGGATCCCACATGCCGCGGAGCGGCTGGGCCCGTGAGCCAAGGCCGCTGAGCCTGCGCGTCCGGAGCCTGTGCTCCGCAATGGGAGAGGCCACAACAGTGAGAGGCCCGCGTAATGCAAAAAAAAAAAAAAAAAAAGATAAAAAGAAACTGGTAAAGTTAATTTAATAATATATATTCTTTAAACCAATATATCTAAATTATCATTTCAACCTTTACTCCGTGTTTTTAAATTATATTAAAATTTTTACTTTCCTTTTTTTAATACCAAGTCTTTGAAATCTGGTGTGTATTTTACACTTAAAACACATCTCGGGACTTCCCTGGCAGTCCAGTGGTTGGGACTCCACACTTCCACTGCAGGAGGGCATGGGTTCGATCCCTGGTTGGGGAACTAAGATCCTGCATGCCACGTGCTGCGGCCAAAAAAAAAAAAAAAAACAACCCACATCTCCACTTAGGTTAGCCATGTTTCAGCTGCTCAGGAGCCACATGAGGCTAGTAGTTAACATACCAGATGGCACAGGCCTGCAAACAGAGTTATTGTATTCGTTTCTTTTCTAGAAACTGCCACAGCAAATGACCACAAACTGGGTAGCTTAAAACAACAGACATTTATTCTCTTACAAGTTCTGGAGGCTAGACATCTGATAGCAAGGTGTCATCAGGGTTGGTTCCTACTGCAGGCTCCAGAGGAGAGTCTGCTCCGTGCCGCTCTCCTAGTTTCTGGTGGCTGCTGGCAGGGCTTGGTGTTCCTTGACATGTAAATGCGTCACTCCCATCGCCACCTCCATATTCACGTGGCATCCTTCCCTGTGTGTCTCTGGACTTTCTCTTCATCTAAGGACACCAGTCATTGGATTAGGGCCCACTGTAATCCATTATGTCCTCATCTGAAACTTGATTATGTCTACAAAGATCCTACTTTTGAATAAGGTCACATTTCTGAGATCACAGTTGGGCATGAATTTGGGGGGTGGGGGACACAGTTCAACCTGGTATAGTTGCTAAACCAAATGAATTTAAGATTCACACTGTGAAGGTAAGAAATACGATTTCATGAGTCACTGAGGTATGGTCTAAGACTCTGGTTTAGAATATGGTGTGATAGCGTAGGATATATCTCCACTCGTAGCTTCCTTCCCTGTCCCCGACCGCTCCCACCCCCCACCAAACAAAAAAAAGAAAAAAACCTTTTAATACAGTGAGGTTAGAACCATTATATCAGAGACAATAAGTTAAGCCACACTGGTGACCATTTGGGTGAACTCAAAGGAGAGATGAAGAAGAAGAATTATTTGAGATGAGTTGTGGAAAGTGTGTCCCTCATGCTGGACATAAAACTCGTGCAGCGGTAAAGTGCACAGTAATGGTGTGCCTGCTTTGAGGTCCTATCTGCTAGGGGTCTGTTAAAATAGAAAATCAAATAAGGTGGGTTTTTGTTTTGTTTCGTTTTTTTAAGTCAGTTTATCTTTTTTTTTTTAATTAAAGTATAGTTGATTTACAATGTTGTGTTAGTTTCAGGTGTACAGCAAAGTGGTTCGGTTATATATATCTATATATCTGTTCTTTTTCAGATTCTTTTCCATTATAGGTTATTACAAGATATTGAATATAGTTCCCCATGCTATAAAGTAGGTCCTTGTTGTTTATCTGTTTTTTATATAGTAGCGTCAAACAAGTTTTTTAATTGGTTGGCAACACTCAGCATCTCGCAGAGAGTAGAGAGGAAGCAGCTGGGAAAACTATTACTTTAAATCAAAATACTTTCCAAAATGAGAGAATTGATAGTTTAAATGCAAGTGCCTGAGATCTTGGAAGAAAATGAGTTGGTGAGCCAAGTATAGGAAACTTGAACTTAGATGTTTTTAGACTAGAAAGTGTCAAAGAAAAGATAGGCAGATATTCTTGAGAATGTAGCAGAGACGGTGACTCAAAAGTATTAGGAAGCTGAAGAATTTAACTTTGACTGTGATGCTAAAGAAAGGTAACATGGGAAGACCCCATGGCCTTCTGATGAAAGCTTTCTGATGACTCACGTTTTATAGGGTCATTTTTAAAAGATGGAAAGTAAGGGTATGCAAGCAAGGGTGAATGTGTGAGAGTCATGCTGGGAGATTAAAACACAAAATAAGTTGAGGCTTGTAAAAAGTGTCTTAGAGCTTGGTTTGGTGCAATGTGGTGACTGGAAAGGAATCATAGCTTTGGGCTCTTCATATAATGCTGACTGATTAAGTGGAAAGAAAATTTTTACTGCTTTTGTCTTCTCTGTTAAGAATAAGGGTGTTCAACCGAAAGGGTTTAAGATGCATTAAATCCTATAGCAGAGAAAGAATTTGTGGAAAGAATTGCAGAGCCCTGACTGTGATCTTTGAAGAATGCTTGGGGTCTTCAAGGAGGAGCGTTTAATACTGACAACCCCTCTTTCCTGCCCAAATCCTGAATTTTTAAGACAAAAAGAGGAAGGCTTCCAGGGGCCTAAACGTCCCCTTCACTACCGAGAAAGCTGATACTGGAGAATGTGAGCTTCCTAATACTGAATTCCAAACTTACCCCCTAGTAACTGGAATAGGGCAGTCCTCCCTGTGGGCTTGCTGCCAGGATGTAAGGGAAAGAGGCCCAGAGTGTTATGATAAAGGTGGATGCCCCTCTGTGTGGAGCCTCAGGTCAGCAGTGGGAAAGAAGCACCCCTCCCCTAAAATGAAGTAAGGAGAATGGGGGAATTTTTTTTTTTTTCTAATTTTGAAAGAACAAGGAAAGTGGCTTAAAGACTGATGAACTTGGTGCCAATTCCAAGCAAGATTCTAGAAAAGATTATCAAAAACATGGTTTCTGAGCACCTGTACTAGGAATCGAGAATCGTAGTTTGCTAACATATTTGAACTTAACTCATTTTCTTCACTGATTGGTAAAAAAATTTTGGATTATAGGAACGATAAAGTTGTTGTATCTCTATTTTGACAAGTCATTAGACAAGCTGTCTAAAACAGTTGTGTTGATTAGAAATGAATGACTATTCCTGGACTTAGACCAGTTTCAGGTTGGAAGGACGTTTTTAGTGGCACGTGACTAAATTTATCTTCAGCTCTGTCAAGTTCAACATTCCTGTCAGTCACCAGATGGAGAAACTCAAACTGGGAATAAGTGAAATAATAGGTAGAAAATAACTTGGTGGGGTGACTGTTAGTAAGTTAAAATATGAGAGGTTCATTCATCTAATAGGTGTTTATCGACCATCTGCTATGTGCCATGCATATAAAGATAAATGTAAAGTCCTAAGGATCAAAACATAAATTAATAAAATTTTTAAACCCAGCTGCTTAAAAAAATTACATGGGGGAGTAAAACGCCCCATGTAATTTTAATCTGATGCCCTATCTACAATTTTAATATTGTAGATTTTAATTGACAGTAGGCTTAATGTGTGAGTTAGGAGTTATGATATGATCATCAGAGAAGTTGAGATTGTAGGGACCGTTAAAAGCATGGCTTTTAGAAGAATAGTTAGTGATGGCCAGGTCTACCCAGTATTAGACAACGTTGGGAAATGGCTTTTCTGTCCTGGGCTCTGTGTTGAGAAATTGAATGAGATACAGGTGAGAGAACTGATCATATGTAGCCTGGAGATGAGATGCAGGGGAGCTGTAATCATTGTCTGGACATCTGAAGAACCATCCTGTGAAATAATATGAACATGTACGGAGTGCATTTCTAAGCATTTGACACGGACTAACTCGTAAAATCCTCAAACAACCGTTTTGGAGATAAGGAAAGTGAGGCTTAGAAAGGTTTAGTAAGTCACTTGCTCTGAGTCCTATACCTTAGAAAAGGCAGGTCCACATGGTCTGCCTCTAGAACTAGGCTTCTGACCACAATGCTATTTACCACTCATGGAAGAGGGAGTAAGTTTGTTCTCCATGGCACTCACTGATTCAGTGGGTTCCGTGGATGTTTTTACAGCACATTTCCAGTAATAACTTCTCAGACAAAAGTTGTATTATCATTAATTTTTTTCTTGATATTTTCTAGATTGTAAAATTCATAATTTTTCGTGTAGAAAAATTTGGAAGTCTAAAAAGAGAATTAAAAAGTTCCTGTAATTTCACCACTCAAAGACAACCATTGTTAACACTTTGGTGTATTTCTCTCAATCGTTCAATATTTTTCATAAATATTTTTCAAGGAAAAAATTGGCAGTGCTTGCTTTAGCTCTAATAAGATTCATGTCACGGAAAAATAAAAATTTTATTTTGATAAATTCTGAAAGTTCCTTCTTTTGGCTAGGTTTCTGCCTCAATGCTCAAGCAGTTTCCCAACAGTGGCCTGAATCCAGGTCTTTTCAATGTGGGGCCCCAGTTATCTCCTCAACAAATTGCCATGCTGAGCCAGCTTCCACAGATTCCCCAGTTTCAGTTGGTAAGTAGCAGATTTTCCTCCTATAGCTAAAAAGGTTACTTGCTTTTTTTTCTTTTTTTTTTTTCTCTTTAGCTTTTATTTGCTTCATTTCATGCAAACTGTTGAGTGTGCTTAAGGGTTGATATATCAGCTCAACTGCAGGTAAATGTGACCCGTAGACTGGGAACTCGGTGGTGCTTCCTTCACGGGCACTTAATTCATTCACAGTTTTCCCAGTAAGTCTGTCTTAAGGAAACTTGCGTCCTCTCTTTCTCCCCTGCTTTGTAGGCGTGTCAGCTGCTCCTGCAGCAGCAGCAACAGCAGCAGTTGTTACAGAACCAGAGGAAGCTTTCTCAAGCCGTGCGCCAGCAGCAGGAGCAGCAGGTACGTGGCACTGGAAGGGTCCCCCTGGTGCTCCACGGGAGGAATGCGTCTCTGCTTAACCTCTTCGATGGCAAACATGACTCAAATGCCGCCTTTCCCCGTGAGGTTCAGGGTGTCTCACGTGTCCGTTTTCCCTTGCGCCTGCTCGCCTCCAGCTGGCTCGAATGGTGAGCGCCCTGCAGCAGCAGCAGCAGCAGCAGAGGCAGCCCAGCATGAAACATTCGCCGTCTCATCCCGTTGGGCCCAAGCCGCATCTGGACAACATGGTCCCCAACGCTCTAAATGTGGGGCTCCCAGACCTTCAAACCAAAGGGCCAATACCTGGATATGGTTCTGGTAAGCTGTGAAGTAATGAAAACTGCCTGTTGAAAAATACCTGCCAGTCATGTTCTCAGCCTGGGGGTTGGACCTACATTACGCTGTTTTCACAACAGTTGTGCAGGGTAGGTGAATATTTGTATCCCTCTCTTTCAGGTGAGATATCTGAGTTATTGATATCCTAGGGTCTCAGTGGTTTCCTGAAGCTCACCACACAGTAAATAACAGAGACAGGCCTCCACCTTCTCTGGGTCCAAAGCAGTCTTTTATTACTTGTGAGTGGCAATCAGCTCTCCTACCACCAGGAATTTTTTCAAGCCAGTTAAATGTTTGTACCTGCTGTGACTGCTACACACGTCTGAGGTTATAATCTAATAAATTATGTACAAGTTGAGGCGTTTAGCTCTCCAGATAAAATTACCTTCTCTTGAAAAAATGGGGAACTGATATTAAAATTATAAGGCAAACTGATAAAATTCTTCTGATATTAGTATCTCATCTGATTTAAATAGAATTAGCACAAGTAAAGTTATACCTTTGACATTCATCAAGAATTTGTTGGCAGGCAAATCGTAGCTCTTTCAGAACTGGGGAACATGTTGTAAGCAGAGTCCAATCAGTGAGGCAGCAGTGATTTAAAAATAAAATGAAAAAGGTACCACACCCCACAGCGTTTTTCTTCTCAGACTGACAACATTTAGATTTTCTTTCAGTAAAGACCATACTGTTCTCTGCAAACTCAAAAACAAGAGTTTGGGGAGACTTGAAATCCATACTCCCAGGTGACAAAGTGACCCTGGACAAATGGCCCTGCTCTTTGTGCTCTGTGAGGTGCCCACTGCCCCCTGGGGAGGCCACATCCAGAGAAGAGCAGAGAGTTCAAGGACTCCTTGATCCTGGATAGTTGTAAGGGAATTAATTTACAGATCCTCAAGTTCTACCAACTGTACTTAAAAATGATTGCCTGAGAACTGACTTTTAAATTCAAAATAAACTTTCTTCCATATGACATAAAAGAAGGGCAGATTCTCCACCATCCCATATCCTATTAGAGCATGCTTCTCTGAGGTTCCAGGCAAGGAGGAAGCCTCCCTTGATGACCAATGATGGTGCCATTACCCCTGGGTTTCCGGTCTTCACCTTCTGAATCGTGTCTTCTGTTACAGATGAAGCTTGACATAAGAGCCTGGGTGTGTTGGTGTGTGTTCAGTTGTTCTGAATTTAGACACTGTACATGATAGTGAAGTGGGGCAACTGTGCTTCTTTTATATCCACTTTAGTCAAAGGGTGCGTAGTTCTTGAAAAGGAATCCAGTCGTATAAAGCAAAGAGAGCATCTGGAGGCCACAAGTGGCTTTTCCACTTGTTTTAAGAACACAGTTCTTTTCAGGCCTTCTCAGTACTCGTCCTGAGGGTATGTCTTAGTTGAAAAGAAAAGCACCTTTGAGCAGCTTGAGCAGTATAGTTTAGTGAGACTGACTCTTTGAAACAGACATTTTCACAGCGAACCAGGTAAAGCCTGTGGATAAACTTTTATGTGATTTCCTTTAGACTGGGTATGCACTGGTCAATTAGTTGTTAAAAACCTAAAATCATGATGTATTTATTTCAATGACAGTCTTTATAACATCTTTACTATCTGCTGCCCCCTATTAAAAAGTAAAATTATGTGTTGGCTACAAATCTGTTAATTTTTAGCAGTGTATACCTCTCTTATTTATTAAATATATAGAAAAATTTTATCATGATGTCTTATTAGATTAATCGTGTTGTTTGTGATTATTATACTTAACTATTCCTAATGACTAAAGGATCAGAGTTCAGTATATATACATATGTACATTTACTGAAGAAATTTCATGGGTTGTTTTTTTTTAAAATCATATTCCTGTTTCATAAGTAACTTAAAAAGTTAGTTCTGCATTATAATCCAAATTAAATAAGGAGGAAGAACATATTGACTTATTTATATCTGCTCACTTATTAAACAATGGATAAATTAATTTTATTAGGTCTTTATATTAATTGTGATCTGACCACTTATAATCTGCCTTACAAGATGCATTTTGCAGTTTATTTCACAGTTACAATTCTCCTTAATTCATATTACCACATTTCTTGGAATTGAAAAATTGGGACTGAAAACAAGTCTGATTTGGCTGACTATTTTGAATAAATTGAATCTATAGCTGTAAGATTTTGATGAAAATATAGTTAAAGCATTTACACAGGTTAAAATTTTTTCAAAAAAGATTATATGGCAAAGCTGTAATAAAATGAATGAATATACATGAGTATAAATGGTGCTGAGTATAGCAAACTAAAAAAAAAATACCTGTAGGTTAAAGACTAGCAAGAATAATTAAGTTTCTTAATAAATATTGATAAAGCCTCTACTGGTATATTTTCTCAGAATTAAAAAGTTGAATGACTTTCATGACTGCTTAACGGGTTACCCTTAGCTATTTTTGTTTGTTTTTTTTTTAATATTTATTTTTTTGTCTGCTTTGGGTGTTCATTGTGGAGCACGGGCTTCCCTCTAGTTGCAGCGTGGAGACTTCTCTCTAGTTGTGGCATGAGGGTTTTCTCTTCTCTAGTTGTGGTGCGTGGGCTCCAGGGCTCGTGAGCTCTGTAGTTTGCAGCACGCAGGCTCTCTAGTTGAGGTGCGCGAGCTCAGTAGTTGTGGCACGCAGGCTTAGTTGCCCCGCGGCATGTGGGATCTTAGTTCCCTAACCAGGGATCAAATCCGCATCCCCTGCATTGGAAGGCGGATTCTTTACCACTGGATCACCAGGGAAATCCCCCTAGCTGATTGTTTTTGTAAAGTAGATGGTTTCTAATTTTCTGCTTTTAGCAAAATGGAAAATATACCTAATTGAATTGTCATGTGATAATGACCTGTCTAAAAATTAGTATTTATACTAAATATATACTAAATACTAAAAGTAGTTTTAGTATTTGTTTTATTGAGCAGGTGGGGGGGAGGAAATATACCTAAAAAGGAATGTAAAATAACTGATGTAATTACAAGACTCCTCCTTTTCCCATCGCCTTATTTGTGTAAGATATCTTAGTGCTTTATCAAGACTACAAAAATTTTTTAAATAGGAATAGTGTGAACTAAATCTCATTCTAGTATTAAGTCATAGTCACTCACAAATATCTGAACCAATGGAGAAGCAAAGTCACTCATCAGGAAGGGCATGTCCAATAAAATTTTATGTTTAAAATTTATCAAAATATGTAATATTTCTGTGTATGGTATATCCAGTGAAAAGTAGAGTTATGAATAGTAGAGATTATTAAAATAGCAGAAGAATAACTATATCTTTCCTGGTATTATGGTGTGTCAATATCACATGTGCATGTGGACATGGATTAGAACAGTTGTATTAAAGGGGCAACTGTGGATGATTTGTTTCTTTTATAATTTATTCTTTATTATAATTATTATTTTTTTAACATCTTTATTGGAGTGTAATTGCTTTACAATGGTGTGTTAGTTTCTGCTTTATAACAAAGTGAATCAGCTATACATACACATATATCCCCATATCTCCTCCCTATCCCACCCCTCTAGAGGGTCACAAAGCACCGAGCTGATCTCCCTGTGCTATGCGGCCGCTTCCCACTAGCTAGCTATTTTACATTTGGTAGTGTATATGTGTCCATGCCGCTCTCTCACTTTGTCCCAGCTTACCCTTCCCCCTCCCCGTGTCCTCAAGTCCATTCTCTACGTCTGCGTCTTTATTCCTGTCCTGCCCCTAGGTTCATCAGAAACTTTTTTTTTTTTTTTTAGATTCCATATATATGTGTTAGCATACGGTATTTGTTTTTCTCTTTCTGACTTACTTCACTCTGTATGACAGACTCTAGGTCCCTCCACCTCACTACAAATAACTCAGTTTCGTTTCTTTTTATGGGTGAGTAATATTCCATTTTATATATGTGCCACATCTTCTTTATCCATTTATAATTATTATAAAACCCCAGGAACTTGTTTTTTAATCTGCAGCCAAAGTAATAGTGGAAAATATAGAACTACGGCAAAGAGAGTGAAGGAGTGATCAATTAAGGACAAGTTAATTTGAGAGAGTGTCCTTAAGGAGGTAAGCCCTGAGACAAGTGGTAGTGATGAATAGACAACGAATTAGAGTGTGTGGCAAAGAAAGTAATTCTGGCAAGGACAGATAAGGTAGCCAAGAGCTTGTATTTGTAAGAATGATAAGGGAGGTAAAAGGAATGTACTGGTGAAATGAGGCCCTGGAAAGGCAAGGGGCATGTCTTATCTCTGATTGTACCTTAGCTCCTAACACAGAGCCTGGCACAAATTAGGCTCTCCATAAATATTCATTGGACTGAACTAAATGACTTGTTTGATTAGAATTTCTGTCGGGGAACTGGAGAATTACTGGAGGCTACTTGATGGACTGAGGAAGTTTGGTTTGATGAAATAGCAAGGACAGTCAAGTCAGTGTTTTCCTGGGTTTGGAGGTGTGATAGCTCATGAGCAGCCCCAGAGGTCACGAGTGGAGTGCCCTCTGCCTTCTGTTAATGCAGCCTCTAGAGCACAGAATTCCTTTCATCCAGATTTGTTGAGCACATTCTATTCTAACGTCAGGCCAGTCACTATGTGACATCGAAGAAAGATACAGTTACATACAACCTTGCACTGATTCTCCTCTCATAGTCTTGGGTTTGTAGATTGGACCTTTCAAGGCACTTATCTCCTGTGTTTTTTTGTGTTTTTTGTTTTTTTGCCCTCTTCAGTTTTTTTTCCTTACTACACTTTATTGCTTAGTTAACGGTGCTGCCATATCGTGTTGGCATTTAATCCACAAGTTTCTAATGAGAAAGATGCCCACTTTACCTAAGGTTCAGGGGGAACTGCTCAAACTCTTTTCTCTCCTAAGATTTATAACTCTTACTAATTTTTAATATTTTATGTGTCACAGAAGAACTCTAAGCAGCTGAAATTAAATAACTTTAATTCATTGTGAGTTTTAAATTTTAGAGCAACTTTAAAGAAAATTAATATATAAAGGAATGGTTTCTTACCTTACTAATCCTTACATTCTTCTTTTTAATCTTCACCAGAATCCCAGGTTATTTTCAAAAGCTCTTTCTCAATGATTAGAACCGAGCTTTCAGATGGCCTGGAATCCAGGCACTTTGGGCTGGTTTTCTAAGTTAAAGGTAGAGGTGTAATTTACGCAAGGAGTAAACCCACGTAGGCCACTAAAGCTGTATCAGAGAAGGCCCTTGTTCCCTTCAACCTCCCTGTCCTCCAGTCTCATTTCATTTTAGCCACATAGGACAAAAGGGAAAATATCTTAAACTCTTCTTTTTTACAAAGAAGGGTTCGGGGACTTCCCTGGTGGCGCAGTGATTAAGAATCTGCCTGCCAATGCAGGGGACACGGGTTCAAGCCCTGGTCCGGGAAGATCCCACATGCTGTGGAGCAACTAAGCCCATGCGCCACAACTACTGAGCCTGTGCTCTGGAGCCCACAAGCCACAACTACTGAAGCCCACGCGCCACAACTGCTGAAGCCCGCGCGCCTAGAGCCCATGCTCCGCAACAAGAGAAGCCACCGCAATGAGAAGCCCGCGCACCGCAGCAAAGAGTAGCCATTGCCCACCGCAACTAGAGAAGGCCTGCGTGCAACAACAAAGACCCAACACAGCCAAAAATAAATAAATTAATTTAAAAATAATAATAAATAAAATAAAAAGAAGGGTTCAATCTGAAATTTTTTCAGCTCATTCCAAGGACTTCTGCTCCCCACCCACACCCTCCAAGCAACCACTTGGACTAGTAAAGTCAGTTACAAACTGTGTGAAAGGACAGTGTTCTGTATATTAATAGCAACATTTTAAACAGGTCAAGAAAGGTGTTAGAACTGATTTGATTTATTGTGCATTTATAAAACTATCCCTGACAAGAGAAGCACAGGGGAGAAAAATGTGACCTGGGCCCCCAATGGGATTTGGATAGATGGAACTTGAGGGCCAATAAGACAACACTAGATGGCAGGAGAGTAAAGTGGATACAGCGTGGAGTCTGGCCTGGCTGGAGCTGCACGTCCACTAGGGGAAGAATAGACCCCGCAGGCCACCTGAGCTGAGGCATGGTGGGAACCCTGCTGACCTCCTTGGGTGTCCATGCTTGCCTGTTGTTACCACCCTGTGGCTCATTCTCCTTTTTCTGTTTTTTACTCATTATTCTTCCCTTCCCCCTGTTTCAGTGGTTGATTTTAGTCCTTTACTTTTTTTGAGCATCAGTTTGAAAAGTATTAAATACATTCTGACCCAGAATGGATGGTGGGCCCTGTGAGGCTACATCAACAAGCCTGTCCTGTCTGGCTTTCACCTGTCCGGCCCTGTGCAGTGGGAAAATGTTACCTGCCAAAACCCTTGCTAAAAGCCTGACACCTGGCAGCACACGGCGAAGTAAACTGAATCTCTCGCCAATTGCCTAGTCAAGCTATGGGGTCTTTGTCATTATATAAAAACTTTTTCAAATTGATCTCCCAGATTCTATCTACCCCATTCTCACACTGTCAGGTCTCTTTGTAAAATACAGGTCTAGTTATCTCTCCTCACTTGCTGAAGAATTTCATCTCCTGTCTTAGAGGGGAAAAAAAGGTCTAGACTCCTCAGCCTGATACATGAAGACCCTACACGCCACGCCACTTCATCGCTCCCTATCTCACTGCATCCATAGGCAGCCAAGCATTGGAGTCACATTGGGCTTGTCATCATTCCCTACACACGCCTGATAGTCACCAGTCAGAGCTTTGTACTTGGTTTCCTTGACTTACTCGCCTACCTCGCCTAGGTCCAGGATCAGTGTCCCTCTGCAAAGCCTTTCCTCTGCCAGAGACCCTGCCACAACTTAATAGCTGCTGTTACACCAGGTTGGGGTTTTGTTTTGTTTTGTTTTTAAATTTATTCATTTATTTATTTATTTTTTTTTGGCTGCGTTGGGTCTTTGTTGCAGTGCACGGGCTTCTCATTGCGGTGGCTTCTCTTATTGTGGAGCGTGGGCTCTAGGCGCACAGGCTTCAGTAGTTCTGGCGCACGGGCTTAGTTGCTCTGCGGCATGTGGGATCTTCCCAGGCCAGCGCTCGAACCTGTGTCTCTTGCATTGGCAGACAGATTCTTGTTTTGTTTCGTTTTGTTTTGTTTTTTGCGGTACGAGAGCCTCTCACTGCTGTGGCCTCTCCTGTGTCTAGAGAGCACAGGCTCCGGACGCGCAGGCTCAGCGGCCATGGCTCACGGGACCAGCCGCTCTGCGGCATGCAGGCTCAGTAGTTGTGGCGCACGGGCTTAGTTGCTCCACGGCATGTGGGATCTTCCTGGACCAGAGCTCGAACCTGTGTCCCCTGCATTGACAGACGGATTGTTAACCACGGCGCCACAAGGGAAGCGCCCACCATGTTGGTTTGATGTGTAGACGTCTCCATCTCAGTTGGAGAATTGCTGGCCCCACGTTCTGTTTGATGCAGATGGATAAGTGAATGCACACATGCACTGAGATGGTCTTAATGAGATGGCAGTCATACATGTTTTCATACCTGAACAGAGTCGTCACTTTTTTAGCAAGCAGGAGCCAGGATCAGCATTTTGAATCAAAATATCTGTTTCTGAGTGAAGAAAACTTCATGTGAATTGGTCTTTAAGTGAAAAATGAAGCTATTCATGGGTTCTGCCTCAGAACTCTTGGTTACTGATACTAGAAACTTATAAAAAGACGTAAAATGTGGTTCTCCATTTTAGGCTTCAGCTCTGGCGGCATGGACTACGGCATGGTTGGTGGAAAGGAGGCTGGAACAGAGTCTCGCTTTAAACAGTGGACCTCCATGATGGAGGGGCTGCCCTCTGTAGCCACACAGGAAGCCAATATGCACAAAAATGGTAAGAGCAAACAAAGCTTCATGACTTGGAGCTGTTCTGACTCTCAGCAAGCCTTGATGAAGTGGCCTAGAAACTTCCTTTGAAGCACAGATCTTTTTTAGCTTTTTCCTAATGAGTCTCTTGATTTTTCCCCCCAGTCCTGTGATCACCTAGGAGAGGAAGATTGGGGTTGTGTGTATTTCAAATTATAAGACACTTGAAGGTGCTAGTTCCACTTAAGGACAGCAAAATTTCCCACCTGCAATTGGATTGAGGGCAGTAGCAGTGAACTTGAGCTCCCCTTGTTAAAACCCTAATAAATTGGCTGAGAGAACAGAATCAGTTTTTGGAGCTACAAGAGAGAGATCACAACAAATATATATCATGATGATTGTTTGAGCTCTTTGATCTCCAAAAGATGACTAATAGATCAATACATGAGGTTTGAACTTTACACAAAGCTTTCTTGTTCTTCATGAATGACAGTGTCTGCAAGACAGCAGTTGAGGGCATTGTAGGCTTTGGTTTTGAATGTGGGTCAGCTCTTCCATCTCTGTAATTCTCTGTAAGAGCATCTCCATTTCCCTTTGAAATAGATGAAAGGTCTTAGGACCTTCCTTCAGCCTTTGTTTCAATGTTTGTTTCATTTGACAGTAATTTACTTGGACTCAGCTGTATCCATGAGAACCAAGTGTAAATAGGTTTTGGACTGGCTCCTGCAGGGGCTTCCTGGCAGCCTCAGCCCCATCAGTCTGGAGCCTTTCAGGGTTCCTTTATAAACCCCTCTTTCATGTGCCCATCCAGTAGGCTGGTGAAGTGGCCATGTGAAGTTCTCTGCCTGCTGTCCCTAAGCATTATCATTTGATTTCATGCTACAAAATCAAGAATGATGTATTGAAATTATCAAATCTGTTTCTGGACTGAATAATCTAAGCTCAGCATCTATAGCTTTGGACACTTAGGCTGCTTCGTTAGGCTGATGATTCATTAAGTCCCCTTGTCCCCAAAGACATGATAGGTGTATGATTATAAATGCACAGTGGCATATGAGAAGCTATCTTACAGGTAAAATACTCGCTTGCCTTTTTAGAGCTTATAGGTAATGTTTTCCCATTTCCTTAGCAATCCCCAAGGTAATTGAGCTTTTCATTTCCTACTACTTCAGTACTGTGTGCCCTTGAGTCAAATTCCTGTCAGTGGCTCCAGAAAAGCAAATGACTTCTCTTAGCTGAGCATGGAGACAGTTGTGATAATACTTGTGCTAGGCCAAACCAAACAGATTATTTTAATCGATATTTACACAAATACTTTATTTTCATTTTTTTTATTTTTGGCCATGTCGTGTGGAATGCAAGATCTTAGTTCCCCGACTAGGGATTGAACCCGTGCCCCCTGCAGTGGAAGCATTAAGTCTTAACCACTGGACCACCAGGGAAGTCCCTACACAAATATTTTAATACATTACCCTGGAAGTAATTTTATCTGTTCATAAACAGCATCCTAAGAGTAGATCAGGTAACACAATACAGCATGTAAAATTCATTTGAAAGATAAGTAGAATGGTATCTCACAGAGGTCAAAATTTTCATTTAAAGTAAAGTTCATTTTTTGTTAGTTTAAGGGAATTATTAAGCTTTTAATTTTTTTCCTGCCTCCCAGCATATAAAATGCATGAAGGGGGCACCAACAAAACTGAAATGCTCTCGGGACAGCAGTTTTACAAAGGATTTGCTGTTCTTCATGTGTGGAGCCGTGGATCTCAGAGCTGCAGAGTTCACTGCTGGCCCTGTGCTGGCAGAGACCCTCGGCGGGAATGCTGTCTCATTGCTTTGGAATTTAAAGCAATTGCAGATGCCTTTCTCTCCAGCAAACTCCCTCTGTTTTCTCTGCTTCTTCCAGCTAAACTAGGCCTGATCAGCACTTAAAGACTTGGGTGGGTTGGTGTCAGTAGAAATGTAATTAAAAACCCTTCTATGTGCCGCAAATTGTTGAGTATTTTTCCTATTCCTCATTCCTAGGTCATTAGTGTAAAAACTGGGGGGATGATGGTGTGATTCGTAGTTGATGAAAGTTTTGTTAACTTCATAAGACCATGGAATTTTAAAATTGAAAGGGACGTTCAGGAATGAGAACAGTGCTGTGTGCATAAGTGCAGACTGAGAGGCTAGAAAGGTGAGATGAGTTGTCATGGTCATCCTGCTTCCTAATTATGCAGTGGCTTTCAAGCGTGACCTCTGATTCCAGGACTCTTTTTCCTGCATACTGTGTTGGAGTTCCTCTAAATGAAAGCGCAACAAGTTCTGTTCATAAGAGTCCTTTCTGGTGTGAATTAGTTACCTTTCTCTTTTCTCAGGCGCTATAGTGGCCCCTGGTAAGACCCGAGGAGGGTCACCATACAACCAGTTTGATATCATCCCGGGTGACACACTGGGTGGCCATACGGGTCCTGCTGGTGATAGCTGGTTACCTGCCAAATCTCCACCAACAAATAAAATCGGAAGTAAATCCAGCAATGCCAGCTGGCCTCCAGGTATCGTACAGGAAATGTTTTTTCTGGGATATCATTTTTTTTATAATTGTTAATTTCAGGTTCTGAACAGATTGCTTCTGACACAGACATTCACTTTGATTTTTTTCATTCAGTAATTATTGTCTGATAAAAGCAGGGAAGAATTTGCTGTGGGAAGATAGCAAATTTTCATTAGAGGGGGTCTCTGCTCTGTAGAGTTCAGTCAAGAACATAGGTGTGAGCACTGATCGCCTACAAGGCAAGTTACTGTGGTAAATACTGCACAGGCACAGATAGGCCAGAGGAAGTCCATGGAGTGCAGCCTGGGAGTAAAATAAGGTGACCTTGGAGCCGGGACTTGGCATTCATCCATGCAAAGGATGCCTTGAAACGTGGGTTCTTCTGAAATGTCCAGTGAATTGATTAGTTTATTCACTGAGCAAGTATTTATTATCAGGTTCTAGGTATGCAGTAGTGAGTGCAGTGAGACTGTTTGCTATTTGTTTTCTCTTTTTATTCTGGTACAAGTAATCTATTTTCATTGTAGAAAAAACTTTTAATTTATTAAAGCAAAATTAAAAACAAGTTTGGTATATGTCCTTCTAAACCTCTTTCTATACGGGTATATTTGAGCTATGAATATGTATAGTTTCTAGTATAATGCATATTCATATGTACTACATACTGTTCTTCCTCATCATGATTAGGAAAGTAAAAGTTTAATATAGCTTTAAATATGATTTAAATTAACCGATAAAAAATTGTAAACACTTAAATATTTTCTAGGCTTTCTCATGATAAGCCAAATTCTTCCTGTGGTTGTCCCTGGACATTCCCCTCAGTAGTGGTCAGATGTGTTTTCTTTTGTGCATCTGAGCCAATTTCCAGTGAGATAAGTGGGAGAAATATCTCCTCTCCAACTCAGATTTTCTCCCAGTTTTTGTCCTAGATGCCCCACAGTTGTCATGAGACCACACTACCGTATCCTGCCTCCCTGCCCTCAGGCCTGAATTTCCCTGGGAGCAGGGCCTGGGGCCAGATCTTGCAGGTCTGTGGCATCAAGTTCCCAAGCAGAGAAAGAAGGTCGGCATGTCGTGATAGCACAGGAGTGCTGCTGGCAAAGTATATGTCAGGCCAACTTTTTTTTTTTTTTTTTTTTATGATGAAAATCTGAGCTAAAATAGATTCAGAATTTAGACTTTTCACAGATCTATTTCTTGTATCAAAAAATAACTTTACCACGTTTTGAACAACTTCCTACCTCTATCCAATATTTGTTCTCCTTACCTCAGAATTCCAACCAGGAGTGCCATGGAAAGGTATCCAAAACATTGACCCTGAATCTGACCCCTATGTCACCCCAGGAAGTGTGCTGGGGGGTACAGCCACATCTCCCATTGTAGATACTGACCACCAACTTCTGCGGGATAACACCACAGGTAAATAAGTGAAACACCCCTCGTGTTTATTCAGCACCCAGTATTTTCATGTTTGGCAGGCTGTGGCTTCATTTGTACTTGCTGGTATCTCACCAGAAAACATAGGAATATGTAGCTTTTCACATTTAGTTTTTAGATATAGTTTGTCCTTCCTCTTATTTAAGGTTAAATAAAATACTTCAAGATTTCACTAGTTATGCTGACATTGATCTGCACTGTTTTCATTTCGTTCTTCATTCGTCATCCAAAGGGTCTAATTCTTCCCTCAACACCTCGCTGCCTTCACCTGGTGCCTGGCCCTACAGTGCCTCTGACAACTCCTTCAGCAACGTTCATAGCACTTCAGGTACGCGTGTGACCCATTTCTGCCCCTTCGCTAGCGCTTTCCTGTCTGGCTGCCTTCTACAAAGGAAATTGGCGTTTATTTCTTAAGGAATAAATAGCTTAGGTCAGCGTGGATGGAGACACACCTCTTGTATTGGCCACGTCCTTGGGGAACTTGCAGTCAGTCTCAACAGAGGCAGGGTGAGACAAATACAGCTTTAGGACCAAGACAGATGGTGACATAATTACAGGGAGCTATGGGTGTTGAGAGGGCAGAGGTTATATCCTGATGACACAAGTGCTTTTCTTTTAACCAGTCTGCCAAGAAAATCAGGGGCCGTGGGAAGAACCAGTTAAGTCCAGGTTGTTGTTCCTAAGGCAGCCAATTAGAGCTTGCTTTTCTCCAAAAATTCTTCCATTTACAGACAAAGGCTAAGGGCAGATGGCCAAGGGGAAAAAAAGAGGACCTTGGTTAATTCTACCAACAACACTTGTTGAGTTCCGTGTGTGTGTGTGTGTGTGTGTGTGTGTGTGTGTGTGTGTGTAAGACAATAGGGAATGGAAAACTTAATGGTTATAACAGAGCCTTTGAAGTCACTTACTTAGCACAACGCCTTATAGATTGGTAGACCAATCATTAGTAATTGGCACCTTGGTCTTGCAAAAGTTGGACCTTAAAGCCATTAAAGTCATTAAGGCTTTTGACGTTTATCCAGGCGAATGCAAATAAAACAAATCCTTAGCTACCTACTAAGGCTCTGCGGGTTAATGTACTTACGGATTGTCTTCTTTTTCTTTCCACCTCTGTCATATCAACAGTGCAACAGTAACCTCTCAGGACCAGGCAACATGCTAAGCCTTCAGCGTGAATTCTTATCTTACCTTCACCAAAGTCTGTGGGGGAGGTCCCGCTATTACCCCCATTTTGTAGATAAAGAAACTGAGATTCAGACAGCTGATAGAATTTGCCTCAGGTCCGAGTGAGTGTGTAGAGGAGCCAACTCCATATTCCATGTTTCTAAACACCACCCTACATTATGCTTTTATAGGACTCCTACCTTTTTTTTAACTTTTTTGTGTGTGTGTGGGGCTACACTGCATGGCATGTGGGATCTTAGTTCCCCGACCAGGGATTGACCCATGCCCCCTGCAGTGGAAGTGCACAGTCTTAACCACTGGACTGCCAGGGAAGTCCCCTAGGGCTTCTACCTTTACATAAAAACTCATTTTCACCTCTTTTATTCCTGTAACTGCCCATGCCTCTGTTTTAACTATTTTATCTTTCATTTACAAGCGGTCACCTGAGAGATGACTCAAGCATCACCCTTGTTTAAAACTAAATGTATACATTTCCAACCCTCACTGTCACAAATTTTCTTTTATTTATTTATTTATTTTTGGCTGTGTTGGGTCTTAGTTGCTGCACACAGGCTTTCTAGTTGCAGTGAGCGGGGGTTTCTTATTGTCATGGCTTCTCTTGTTGTGGAGCACGGGCTCTAGGTGTGCAGGCTCAGTAGTTGTGGCTCGCGGGCTCTAGAGTGCAGGCTCAGTAGTTGTGGCACACAGGCTCAGTTGCTCTGTGGCATGTGGGATCTTCCCGGGGCAGGGCTCGAACCCGTGTCCCCTGCATTGGCAGGCGGATTCTTAACCACTGCGCCACCAGGGAAATCCTGTCTTTCTTTCTTAACTAACTCTCTTTCTTAGTGGTGCTGCTGCACATCACTTAGTCGCAACATCTCAGTCTTCCCTCTCGCCTCTTCCTCACTCTTTCCTGTCTCCCTCACTTGCTGGGTCCAGCCAGTGATGACGTCTCCCAAGTGGTTTCTTCTCTCTCAGATCCATTTCTTCTCTTCCATTCTCTTTGCTGTCATCCACGTTTTGGCCCTAGTTTAAACACTACCTGCTAAATCTACTGCAAAAACTCCTGATAGCATCTGAAACTGCCCCCAGCAGACCTTTATGGCCTCCTTTACCTCTCTGCTACTGTGAAGTGTTGTTCGGCCAAAACTGGGGAGAAACATATTTGGTACAAAGAGAGTTTAAGTTGAAGCTCGGTTTCTGTTTTCCTGTCTTGCTGAGCCGTCCATTTATATCAGTCCTTCAAGACTTGTCTTGGCAAAGTCGTTGCTGACAGCCCAGCATTGTCATTCTCCTCCATGTATTGAACATATATGATGTTGCTGGGTTACCAGTTCTGTTGTTCATCTTTTCTGTTTTCCCGTCTGAACTTGAAGTTCTTGGGAACAACTGTTTATATTATCCATAGCACTGATTTAGCACCTTAAAAGCAGAGTAAGCCCTTGGTGAATATTTGTTGATTATATTTTTAAAATCTGTTTGAATGTTATCTAGTATTCTGGATCAAGAAAAGTTTAATTTTTTTTTTTTTTTGAAAAGTTTAATTTTTAATGTACTTTCCATTCAATCAGTAAGTATTTATAGAATAAATACTTTAGCTCTGCCTGGGTTCACATTCTACTATATCTAAGTATAAGTAAGACTAATGACTTTAAGAATACTTTCCTTGAATTTATCTTCCTTTTCAGGTTGTGTTTAGCTAAGAAAGCAGTAAAGAATTAGTTATCTTATTAACTCTTTAGCTCATGTGTTAATTTGTCAATTCAGAGTAAGAGTCATTGAAAATTTATATTTGATAAGCTCAGAGAACAAAATTATTTTGCGCCTCTTAAATTGTGCCCTTAATATTTTTAGAATTTAAGCACGTATGTATTCGTGTGTGCGTGTGTATGTGTATTTGTTAACAAAAGTGACCTGTCTAACCTAATTTCCTCCTTAATTTTCTCTTCTTATAGCAAAGTTCCCTGATTACAAATCGACATGGTCCCCAGATCCCATAGGACACAACCCCACTCATCTCTCCAACAAGATGTGGAAAAACCATATTTCCTCAAGGAACACTACACCGCTGCCCCGCCCACCTCCCGGTCTGACCAACCCCAAACCGTCATCTCCCTGGAGCAGCACAGCACCCCGCTCAGTCAGGGGGTGGGGGACACAGGACTCACGGCTTGCCTCTGGTGAGAAGGATCTGCCTAAAGGAGCATCATTGTTCCAACCCGAGGGGCTTATGTTCACACAAATGTTGAAGACACGATGAACTCAGAGGAAATCACGGTTGTCGGGTAGAGGAAAAAGTATCTCTTGAGTGGAGAATTGAAGTCAGCATAAGGCAGAGGGACCCAAGAACTCCCGAGGTACTGACGGAGTAAAGATGAGAACCCTGGGAGGACAACGTTGTCTTGCGAATAAGGCGCAAGAGCGCATAGGATCAAGGTCTAGGAGACGAGAACTGGCTATTCAGTGACAGGATGAAGGAGGTCAGAGTGAGGCAGAAGGAGAAGATGGTTTATAAGAGGAGAGAGGAACCATGTGGGCTGTTTGAAAATGTGTCTCACGCGTGGCTATCTTAATTTTTTGATCGTTCTTCCTGATCTTTTTTTCTGGTTGCTTCCAGCCTCCACCTGGAGTGATGGTGGTTCAGTTCGTCCTAGTTACTGGCTGGTTCTTCACAATCTCACTCCACAGGTAACCACGCTTTCTTGGGATTTTCTGGATGGGACTTGATTGTATTAAGAGAGGGAAAGTCCGAGGTTTGTGGGGCTAGCAGAGAGGAGAGCTCGTTTATTTCCTGGTCACCACAGAGAGGTCCTGCCTGCGGGGGTGAGTCTCCCCAGCTAAGGCCTGAAGCCTACTTCTGAAGCTGGGGGGATGCTGGACACTCAGCTTCACGCCTGCCTTCATGGTGATGTTAACACGTGTAGTTTATAAATAGGGAGCATGGGGTGGTGTTATCTGGTGAATTCTGTTTAGCAGAGATAACTTGCTGTGTGGATCTGCCTGTCAGAATCTGGAACCAAGCAAAAAAGTTACCTGTTTTTGTGTTACTCATTCAACGAGACTTGTGGCTCACTGGTAACCATTTTTATGCTTCATTCATACACCATTAACCATCCATCTCTGCAGTAGAAGGAATGTGTGGATTTCGTGGCTTAAATGCCGTATGTGTGAATTTCTGAATTTTCATTTCCTGTCTGTTCTCTTCTTCTCTGTAGATGGCATTACTGATTTGCTCTCATCAGAACGTGCTCTCTGGGTTGTTGTTACAGTGGTGGGGTTTCATTTACACCAAACCTCCCTCCCTTCTGCTTGAGTTGCCTGATAACTGACGTATTTGCAGCAGCAAACATGGAGCAGTCAAATGAGGTTAAATGGACCCGTGGAAACTGAGCCCAGGGCCTTCATGTGGACTTGACAGCACAACCTTTACAACACCTTGTTAAAAAGGAATCAATTATACCTCCCTCCCTTTGACACAAAGATTAAATTGTCTGGCATTTAATTCATAAGTGGAGTCATGCACACTTTACTAAGCCAGCATTTTCCAGAGTGTTCCCATGGGATATTAATAGGTCTCTGGCCTAATATGTTTGTAATACATACTTGATTAAACAAAATGAAGCAGGTGCCTTCATTATGAGGCTTCTTAGACCCTTTACTGTGCTTTAACATGTGTTATGATCCTCTGTGGGGAAATACAGATTCTCCTAAATTTATTTGCCCAGTGAACCCATTTGTGGGGAGTAAATCTGGGGCTCGTATTTCAAGGTTCATGTTGAGATGGACAGCTTTCTAAATACAGTTAACGTGAGGAACTATCTGGAACTGGAACGGCTCTTAATCTCCATATCTAATCAACTCAGCTGAAAGCCCTGGGTTATTTATTTAGCAAAGAGTTGACTGACGTATGGACATTTTAAATAACCATCCTCAAAACATGCCTCATTATTTCTAAGTTGTCGCAGTGCTGTGGGTGTAATATGGTTAGGATGAGAGAAGCAGTGTTAAAAGGAGCCTGTATTATCGTATGAAAAATAGTAAAGGTACAAACTACTATGGATAAGATAAATAAGCTACAAGGCTATATTGTACAACACAGGGAATATAGCCGATGTTTTATAACTATAAGTGGAGTATAATCTATAAAAATGTTATACACTTGAAACTAATGTAATTTTGTAAATCAACTATACCTCAATTAAATTTTTTCAATTTAAAAATAAATAAAATAAAAAAATAGTGATTTCATTTGTATATGTATATAAATGAATATAGGCGGGCTTCCCTGGTGGTGCAGTGGTTAAGAATCCGCCTGCCAATGCAGGGAACATGGGTTCGATCCCTGGTCCGGGAAGATCCCACATGCCACGGAGCAACTAAGCCCATGCGCCACAACTACGGCGCCTGTGCTCTAGAGCCCACGAGCCACAACTACTGAGCCCACATGCCACACATACGGAAGCCCGCACACCTAGAGCCCGTGCTCCGCAACAAGAGAAGCCACCACAATGAGAAGCCCACGTACCACAACAAAGAGTAGCCCCCGCTCGCCTCAACTAGAGAAAGCCCGCATGCAGCAACGAAGACCCAACACAGCCATAAATAAATAAATTTATTTTTTTTTTAAAATGAATATAGGGATTGGCTGTGTTTGTGTTAGAAAGAATTGATTCATTTTAAAAATCAAAACGACCTAATAGCAGACATCTCACTAATCTGAGTCATAGCTTAAAAGGAGGTTATAAGGCCACATTTTGGGGGACCTGGATAAATTTACTTGTCATCACCTACAATTTATTTATAGGGCGTCTATCCCAGAAAAGTCACTTGTGGTATATACTGACATGCTTATATAGTCAATTGTCATTTATAAAACAATGCCAAGAGCTTTTGTCCCATCATTTTCTGTAAAGAATTACAGTGAAACTGCCGGTTTTCATCCTGTAGGGTTTCCATGGTAAAACCACAGAATGTTTCCACTGCTGCCGCCAGTAGCACAACTTTTTAAGGCTATTCCAGTAGTAATCTGTTTCCCTTCCCAAAAAATGAACTGAAATGTTGCACTGAGCAGCTTCAATAAACCTAGTAAAGATCTTGATACAACTAAATCAGAGTGAGTAAAGAGATTTGTTCTCTAAGTCATAGGTGAGGAAGGGCAATTGTCCCTAATCACTGAACACCCTAATGCTGAGAGTCTGACTAGGGTGAGCAGCTATAAAAAAAACCATTGGTCACGCTGGCTGAGGTCAGCAGAAGGCACTAAGAAGTAGGTAGACGTAGAGTCTCTCCTTGAGATGACGAGAGTAGGAGTAAGGAGACATCAGAATCATCTGAGCTGGGTCAACCGTCAGCATTCTGAATCGTCAGGTGGTCAGCAGTGCCTTTCTTGTTTGTGTCTTTTCTCTGTAGCTTTTTGTGAGATTGGAAGAATGTTACATGAGTAATCATGCTCAGAACTTTGCATGTTCTCTTATATTCTTATTTGGTTACCGTCTTATTTCTGCTTTTTAAGGCTCTACCAATCAGTATAGGTTTACTTGTTTACCTCTTAAGGAAAACAGACCACAGGTTGAATCATGTGCTTTTGTTTTGAGCTGTATTTATACAAATTTTTTATCTGCAAAATGGCCACATTAGATCTGAGCCCAGTGCTTTGAATATCTTAAGATTTGCCTTGAAGACCTCTGTATTCAGTGCAGTCTTTCCCTGCCTCGAGTTCTTCATTTGTCTCTCCTAGACTTATTTAGTACTAATGCTGTTATTTACGAACCGGAAGTCCTTCTCATTCTCAAATATAAGAAAGGTCACTTGACTTCCTTTCCCACCCCATCACCAGTTTTTATCTCATGACTGTCATTACTCTTTAGATTGATGGGTCAACCTTGAGAACCATCTGCATGCAGCATGGCCCACTGCTGACATTCCATCTGAACCTAACCCAGGGCACCGCCCTGATCCGATACAGCACCAAACAGGAGGCGGCCAAGGCCCAAACTGCACTGCACATGTGAGTACCCAGCCTACGCTCACTGAGACAAACATGCATGAAGAGGCACATGTGAGTATTCGGGCACCTGCTTAATTAAACAGAGATGCACGAGAACATGCACACAAACGGCATCCTGACATGAGCAACTGCTTGAGTGCCGAGGTGGCTGATCTCTTCTACTTACGTAAGCATGGATTGTCCTGTTTGTATCCGATAAGCAGAATTCCAAAAGTAACAGATTTGTGAAGCAGGGAGTAAATTTTTAGTACCATGAAACAAACCCAGTATTGATGAAATGTGAGACGCTGTAAGTGCTGTCCCTTTTCATAATAGGGTCTATAGCTGCTTTCTTTGGCCTCTCTGTGGGTGATGATGGATATTGTGGTCTTAGTGGTAGCAGGGGTTCTGCCTGAAGTAAGTGGGGCTGGATCAGACTCTGGCCATCCTCTTCCCCGCCACTGTCAAGGTGGTGAACAGGAGGAACTGACTCCCCGTGGCTGCAGATGCCATGACAGAAAGGTACACACGGAACAAGCAAGTGATGGGGAGGTCAGGCAGTGAGCCCGGCCCTGAGACGAAGCAGCACTTTAGGTGCCTGGAGCTGGGTCACCTTGATGTTTGGGGCTGTGATCTTTTACCCCCAAGGGGGAAAAAAAAAAAAAGAGACGACATTTTACTTGACATACAAATTCCATGTCCCAAGGGATATTGATGTATAATATTCTCCAGTAGTCTTTGGATATCTGGAGATTGAGTGATACGTTGTTCTCAATCAGTACTTCTCAGTCACCTCTTGGTTAAAATGCAGGTTCCGATCCTGTGATTCTGAAAAGCTTCCAGGGGAGGTGGAAGCTGCTAGTCAAAGGACCACACTTTTGAGTAGTGAGGACTCAAAATACTCAGTCCCTATGCATGCTTTTAGGAGTTTCCTCAAATGCATAGCTCTTTCCCTCCCCTTTTTTCCAGGTGTGTGTTGGGAAACACTACCATCCTGGCTGAGTTTGCCACTGATGATGAAGTTAGCCGCTTTCTGGCACAAGCTCAGCCCCCTACCCCTGCGGCAACCCCGAGTGCACCCGCAGCGGGTTGGCAGTCCCTGGAGACCGGCCAGACCCAGTCAGATCCCGTCGGACCTGCTCTGAATCTTTTCGGTGGGTCCACAGGGCTCGGGCAATGGAGCAGCAGTGCTGGTGGCAGCAGCGGGGCCGATCTTGCTGGCGCTTCATTGTGGGGACCCCCAAACTATTCTTCTAGCTTGTGGGGAGTCCCGACCGTGGAAGACCCCCATAGGATGGGCAGCCCTGCTCCTTTACTACCTGGTGACCTTCTGGGAGGAGGGTCGGATTCAATCTGAACTTAGAACTTTCAACTCTGACCTCGTGACCTTTTTTGGAACAGCAGCAGCACTAACTTGACCTTTTCGTTTTTTTTTTCAACTTGCAATAAATACATTTTTAAAAGGAAAAAAGAAAACGGAGAGAGAAAAAAAGGTGGGTCATTGACAGACTGTCTGAGCACATAGTTGCCTCCCTTATAACTTCAGTTTTTTCGTTTGGAATATGAATCCAAAAAGAGAACATATCACTCTTGAAATACTTGAATCATGAACGCCAACCTAGAAAGACAATGTGAAGCAAGTACACATACCATTTAAATTTAAACACAAAAAAATTAAAAAAATTAGTTTCTAGTTTTTCACTTTTTTCATGTTATATGGAAGTTGTTGCTAAGAAACATATATACTGAAAAAAAAATAGCTTTTTAACTTTGTTTGCACTGGGTGTGTTTCCGTCCTTAGGTCTACCATGTTTGGGAGGGAGGGGAATTCAAAAGAATTGTTGGGGTGGGGGAGGGAAGACTTGACGGAGCCTCACTTTAAAAACAAAAACACAAAAAACCTAAAAAAAAAAACAAAAAAAAAGAAAAAAAAGAAAAAAATTGTGATTGGCTGGTTGGTAAATACCAGTGTGTTCTGGCACATGTAACTGCCCAGGCATGCTCGTTCTGGTATGTGTGTGCACGTGTGTTCATGTGCATTCGCGTGCATCCTTCTCTCTGTCTCTCTGTGTGTGTGTGTGTGTGTGTGTGTGTGTGCGCGCGCGCGCGCACGCGCACGCGCCTGTGTCCTCCTCCTCTCCCCATCCTGATTTCTCAGAAAGCTGCATTGCTGACAGTCCGCAGGCTGGCTGGCCGGCCATCTGCTTTTTATTTTTATTTTTATTTTTTTTAACTATGAGAACACAGGAGCACGAGCACCTCGGGGAGCCACTGCTACTGAAGCCACCCCGTTGGGCTGTATTGAGATGAACAGAGTGCTTTTTAATGAGGAAAGCAGGGAGCTCCTTTACATTTGCAAAGTAGCCCGAGCGTGAGTTTTCTGTCTCTTTTCTTTTGACCTAGCAGTAGAGTGGAACACTGCCAAGTCCCCAAAACTAGGAAAGCAGGAGGTACCTCTTGGAGCAACTGTGTGTTTATTTATTTCTGTTTTTTTGAAGTAAGTGGCTAGTAGTAGGCACATCTGAATATCTGTTAAATTTCATGCTGGCCTTTTCATTAGTCTGAATGGGAACAGACAGTAAGGTAGCTTTTAATGATGTGATGTCTCAAAAGCAGAAAAACTGTGTTCCCCCTTTGTTGTGTAATCGGGTATGAGAAATTGGTCAGAAAGTCAGGTAATGCTGAATTTAAAATTTCTATTGTTTCTCTTTAACATTTTACGAGAACAGAAAAAAAAATAAGTTGTGAGCAGCCTCCTGCAAGCATCCGCAGCTCCTCCCTCTCTGCCCCCTTCTTGCTGAGCGTTACCTGTGCCAGGCCGTGGCGTGTTACAGCACCAGGCCATCACTGACAGAAACGTTTACTTAACGAATGTTCTTAAACCAGTGTGTACTTCAAGCGTTTCCTTTTGTTTCTCTGTGTTGTGTATTTCCTGTGTATGTGGTTTTGCTTAGGCAGGTATAACTTAGCAAAGACTTAAGTATTGCACCTTTTTTTTGGTTTTGACCTCTTTTTTTTTCCCTTGTAATGTTGCTTTTTTTATTTCGGTATTTAAAGACTTTTTTTTTTTAAGCATCAATGTAGTAGTACTCTGGGCCGAATAGGGGGCAACTTTTAATCCACAGTTATCACCAACATGTATGTACTTATGTTGGAATCAAAATGTATCAAACTGCTTTTTGTGAAGAGTTACAGCAGACCTGAAGGGTACCCCTTTATACAAAACAGATGGCTGGCGGGGCGGGGGTGGGGGGTGGGGGGGGGGGGCGTGTGCCGGTAACGTGGTAGCACTTGTGTGGACATCCCAGTCTGCATTATACTGTTTAACATAAAGTGCCGACATTCTGTACCAGCAAATACCTGCCCATTCCAACCCTTGGTGGGAGCAGACCTCTACTGTCCTCCGTAACTTGCTGCTAGTGAGGACAAGGGAGTTTTTCTTTCTTTAGCATCTTCAGTGAAGGATACAACAATGCCTAATAATGTATTTGACTTTTAGCTTGTGTCTGTGGGTGGGTGGGTGGCTGTGTATAGGAAAAGGCAAAAACCAATTATTTGCATTTAAGTGGTTTTGTGAGACAAAGAATGGGAATTCTGTAGTCCTCTCAGTTTACTCTGTTGATTATAAACCTAGCCTCAGAAGAGATTGACGTGCGCAGCCCAAGCGAGTGCTCGCTCGTGCAAGTCTTTATGAACCCTTTGTGGGCAGGTGGTCAAACTTGAGTTTCTAGCGTTGGTTTGGTCCCATCGGATGCCTTTAGAAAACTAACTGTGCCCTCCGGTTTTCATCACCACGATGCCCCTTCCACTTCTGCCCATGCACAAAATGTCTCCTTCGAGCCCCACCGACTGCTCTCTGCCTGGGGGCGCAAAACCCTGGCATGTGTGGTGGCCTCCAGGTGAAGAGCAGCTGTGTTCACACATCTACAGAAGGCTGAATCTGAGTGTCCCTGGGCCGGGAGCATGTCCTGAGGCTCACGCGAGCCAGTGGTGACTGTCCACTGCCGCTTTTGGTTCCCTGGCATGTCCTCCCCACCCTCCTCTTTTCCTGCCTGTTGATTCCTTGACCTGCACTATGGGTTAGTTGAGTTCCTTAACGATACTACGGTGAAAGCCGGGTGCTAGAGCCCCTCTTGTTTACAAGACATAATGAGGGATTTGAAATATGTAAAAATAAACATGAGAAGCTAAAATGTTCTTCCATCATAAGCTTAAAGGGAAAAAAACTGAAAACTTAAAAAAAGACCAAAAAGTGCATATATATATACATATAAATATATATTTTAGATGAAGACTAACTCTGGGAGCATTTAACAGTGTTTTTTGTTTTTAACATTTATTTTCCTGCTTTAAAATTTGCAAGCATTCTCAGGAATTCTAGGGTAGGAAGCCAGATTTTGGAAGATGGTTTATTTAACCATATCTTATCCTAGATAGACGGCTGTTTCTTTCCTGTTAATAAACTTTTACAAGTTCCTGAAACTTCAGAAAGTTTAAACAATTTTTACTTAAAATGTAAAAAGAAAAGTCTCCAAACATTATTGTCATACTGGGGATCACACATTTTAAAACATGTAGAAAGAAATATTTTTTAAAAATTATCAATTTAGCAGCAACAGGTAAATTCACGAGCTTAAAAGATATGGGAGAAGGATTAAGCTTTATAAGCGCTCTAGCATGGATTCATTGGAAATTGTGCATAATTTAGTGGGAGAGTGTTTGGTGTGTATAAATGGGAATGCCATCACTTTATTCCTTTCCGTTTAAGACTGAACATTTAAATCTCCCCTTGGAACTTTTGATTTTCTTTAAAGGAACCTTTCACCCTGTCTCCCCAACCCCAGCAACAAAAGAAAGGATCAAAGAAAGAAACAATAGCTTAAAAAAAAAAGTAACTCTAATCTGTAAAGTAGTACGGTTGGATTGCTGAGAATCTATGTAAAGAGTTAGGAAATATAGGTTAATAATTTTTGGAACAAATTTAAATGTAGGCATTACTAGAGAAAAAGTATCTATGGACTGTTCTGTTAATGAAGAATGTCCGTCTTACCTCCGTTTGTTAAGGGAGGAGGAGAAAGTAGAAGAATCTAATAAGGAACAAGTGGTTTTACTTTTTTAGCTCCCAGCTACCGTTGTGCTCATTTTAATTGCTGTTCTGAAGATCTGCTGCTTAATTATCCCCATCCCCCAGCAGGAGATGCGGAGTATTTCCTTTCGGTTTTTGGTGATGTTGAATTCTCTTTTTGTATTCCCTCCTGGGCCAGGGGTTAGAATTCCCAAGCATGACCACAGCTTCTTTTAAACACCTAAGCTTCCCAGTGGGAAAGAAACTCCTGCTCGACAGGTAAAGGGAGTGGGTGGGGTTGCTGCCTGCAGTTTCTCTGAAACCGCTTTAGTGCCTTCGTACATACACCCACACCTCCTAAGCAGGAGGAACTCGTGCGTATGTGCATGTGGTCCCGTCGCTCCAGACAGTAAGACGCTCACCCGTTACAGAAATTGGAGTGGTTCTGGACAGGCCCCAAAGGCAGTGGGCTAAAATTAAAGTCATTAAAGAAACAGAAATCGAGGAAGTATGCTTTTATGTCTTGATAATGTGGGATACCAAGATCCTTCCTTGTGCTGTCACCCTTTGTTACTGTGTATCAGCTTCTCCGGTGACAACTGCAGTGACTTGGAAAGGCTCTGTGTCGGGCCTTTAGAAAGGGGTTCCTGTTTTTCTGCTCTTCTCCTTTGTCTCCTCCCTTTCCCATCAACTCCCTTTTTCTTGACCAGTTGCTGGAAGCTTTGCTTTTTTGGTTGTCAGTGACCTAAGAACAGGATATAGTGAGTATGTAATGGAAGAGGAAAACTTTTCTTTCCATGGTATTCCTTGGCAAGAGCCATGTCTGCTGAGAGGTTAGATGGCTTCAGTACACTTAGAAAATGTGGCGGAAGCATCTTCTCTTCCACTGCATTCTGGCATGGGTACAGGGGCTTGCTGGTGACCTCTCATTACATGGATTTACTTCATGAACATTTTGATCATGTAAACTTGAGCTTTCCAATTCTTACCAGTTTCCTGTTTTTTTTAAACACTTGATTACTAGTGGCCAGAGGTATCCCACTCTCAAACATCATGAACTTGGTTTCTGTCTACCACGAGTAGCCAAAAGGAAAGAAGCACTAGAAGGGGAAGGGAAGGCTTCCATCAGACCGGAGACCTCTCCTGGCAATTAAGATCCAGTGCCATGACCTAATTTTAGGTGTTTAAAAAAAAAGTACAGATCTCCTAGACACTGTGACGAAATGGATGGTCCATGTGGCACCTCTGATCCCCCAAGTCCCCAGCCCTTGGTATTTTTCATTTACAACATTCACGGAAGTTAACGTAGCAGTGCTACAAGTTAAGGTTCCAAAGCACATCCTTCCGTCGGCGCCCCCGTAAATCAGCGCCGCGCCTGCATTGCCATTCAGTCAGCGTTATTTATAGCAACTCGATTTTCTATTACTGTGGCTCCTGTTCTAAGAACTTTCCCACCTCTTCTGACGTGAATGTAGCAGAAGTTAGCAGTTGGCTCTTCCAGGTTCCTGTGGGTTACATGTCGTGTGTAAGATATGCAGAAAGAAAGAAAAGAAAAAAAAATTACTGTCGAAGAATTTGGAAGACCTGTTATTAATATAGCTAGCAGCAACTAAAATTTCACAGGCTGTTAACTAGTTGCAAGTATTCACTCTCACTTTCACCACTTTATGCGGGGGAGGGGGGCAGTTTTTGTAAGATTAACAGCCAGATTCCATATCGACCTCAGATGCTGCGTACTTTTTAGTTTTATTTTTTCTATTCTGCCATCTTGACTGTTAAACAGAATGAAGATGTCTGTGAGCTGAGCAGAATGCTTAGGCCAAGCCTGTTCTCTGCTGTGTAAACAGGATGTTTGCAGCAGACTTGGCTGTAGTAGCCATCTCTAAGATTAGGGAACAATTGAGTCTTTATGTTGAAAAGGTCCCCTTCTTCCCCCATCCTCAGAGTTCAAATTCAGCATACAACACTCTAGGTTATTGTTTTGAGTTTGGGTTTTTTTCTTTTACTTATCTATAAGGTCTTTAGGAGTAGAGATACATTTTTAGCTGGTTAAAAAAAAGAAATCAAACCTGTTCTTCTCCAGTGTTTCGCCAAGTTTTCTCACACTTCACGTCTATGCATTAACTACACTTCTTAGTGTTACTACAAAGAGAAATCTTATTGTTTTCCCTCCCGTGAGTGTACAACTAAGGCTGCGTGCGATAGTGCAGATGAAAATAGTCTGGCCCATGTGTATAACCTCAGCAGTTAATCAGAAAACGGAGTGCCCTTCCCCTCAGCTGCAGAACTGCACCACAGCCTCTCTGCTTTCTTATCCACAAGTACAGGGTGTCCAAGCAGTCTAGAAACAGGCAGGTGTATACAATGTTGTCAAGGACATCATCAGTCTATTACAAAACAGAATATTATCTCTATTTCCAGATTTAGTGCACACCCTGTGATAAGGCCTGTAGGTTTATGGCCAGTGCCAAAGGTGTGTGTATTTTCAGAGATGGTCCCCATTTGTCAATGATGGCGTTGTTTTCTTGACCTGAAATTTGACAAAGGAGGTACTGGCATCACATTCTTCATTTGAAATAATTATCAACTTCAAGAATCTATGAACATAGTAATAACATAATTAAAATTGAGCAGTGACCCTGCCTGCTTCAGCAGAGGAAAGAGGCCACAGACATGCACAGGATGGTGAAGGGAACACCGGTCAGGAAACAGGGCTACACCCCACCGGCTGGGCATCCGCGCCATCCTCATGTTTACGGTCACTCGGACTCGATCTGGACTAATTACCAAGTATTCAAACATTTGAGTGGTTTTTTTTGTTTGTTTATTTTTTGAGTGGTTTTTAAACTGTCAGTCTGTTACAATAACCTCCAACCATCACCAAAATAAAATAGCAAAAGTGATAGAAACTGCCAGTGTTTGCCTCACAGAATTTAAGTAATTTCCTCTTCAGTTAGCCGTACACCTGAATTTGTTTTTAACGACAACTGTGCACACCGGGAAAAACGGTACTGCCCTGAGCAAAAGGTCTCTGCAAAATTCAGCTGTTGGTTCTTCATTGTGACAAACGCTTGTTTTGTTCATGGGAGGAGAAAGGTCAGAAAGAGGCAAGAAGCGTTCTGTTTTAAATTGAAAAGAAATAGTGTTTCCCTAAAGCACTTTGTGCCTCAGTTTCACTTTCAAAATATAAATCACTGTTTTGAAAGTAAATTCCCAATTGGAATTGATCCATTTTGAGCCAATATTAATTAGCTGGGATTGTTCTTCTCAAAAAGTGAAAGTCCTCTTTGCTGCTGCTGGTGAGCAGCAGAAGAGAAACAGTGGAGTAGCTTCCGATGTTGTGGGGCGAAGTGCTTTCCTTCCTTTCTGGTCCCCCGCTTCCCTGGACCTCTTACTGCATCTGGCGGTCCTTCTCCTTGGGGTCCTGAAAGGCGTGCACAGTCCTCGGAGGGCTGGGTTGTGAGAGGTGACGGGATGCCAGGAGCCACTTCGCTGCAGGACCAACCTGACAGCAGAGCTTTATGGAGAGGAAGAGAGTATATCCTGCGTGTGTTCGCCAAAAATGAAAAAGGGGACTGTTTATACAAAACAGAGCAAAAACCTTTGGAACCCTTAAAGAAGTTACATACCTTTTAAAGGTAGTAGAGTTTTTCACCAAGTGATACATTCAGCATGACACTTCTTGCCAGACGTTTCGGGATAAGTTAAAATATATGTGTTTAAAACACCACCCCAACCCCCCCCCCCCTTTTAATTTTGTCCAAGGAATTACTTACTTAAGTGTAGTATTTCTGAATGTGCCTTTGTGAGTTCAGAGACCGTCTGTTTTAGGAAGAACCTACCCATTGGGATAAAACAGAAAGACGGTCAGCTTGGTCTTTAGGGAAGTCGGCATTTCTCCGGACCGACCCCGGGGCGTTTTAATTGCACAGTGTAGAGTCGTGGGGGAGAGGTTCCGGGACTTGGGAGAGGGGATGACGAGGTGATGATGCACAGATGACAGAGACCAGGTTAGTCCAAGAGTGCAGGTTGAACTTAATCTCTCTGCATTGCCTAGTCTTCTTCGTGTTTATGTGTGTGCGTGTGTGGCTGTGGCTGTGGCTGTTTTAGTCTTTGTTTTCCCGTAAGCACTGGAGAATTGAAATATGGTGATGCTTGTGACACACTCGTGCACGTCGAGAAGGCTTTTCTCCCTCCTGCCTCACGCACGGCAGGCGGCGCGTTGCCACCCTTTGAGTCTGTGTCCTGAGAAGGCAATTCTTTTCCCAAATGGAAGTCACATAACGTTGCTGTTTGTGCAAACAGGGTATCACACACGAGGAAAAGGCTTTTGAGAGGATAAGATTGATGTGTTTGTGAAAGAAAAGAGAAAAATCTGCAATCATATTTTATTTCTTCAGAACTATTATAGTTAAACATAGAAATCTGCAGTGTCTCTTCCTTTGTTTCACGTTTGTTTTAAACAATTCCACCTCTTCTCCCCACTCCCTCTCTTTTCTAAAGAGAAATCAAGTGAATGCTAAGGGCCATTTCCATAATTCCTCAGAACTCCCCAAAGAGGAAAACAATCCCTCCGCAAGATTCCTTCAGCTTCATTCAGGAAGACACAGGGAGGAGAGATGCTGCAGCTTCCGGGGCTTCACTCTCATTCCTCTCTAATGGCCTTGAAATGTATTATTATGCAAATGTGAATTTTGATACTGAATTTAAGAAGAGGTTGTTGGATTTTTCTTTTTTCAAAAAAAAAAAAGGTCCCATATGTGGTCATCATTGCTTCTTTACTTTGTAACGTGTGAATTGTAACTATGCATTCTGCAAAGGGGGGGGTGGGAGGAGAGGGCAGAAAGGGGAAGGAAGTAGCTTTGTATCCTTGTTCTACAGTTTCTGTGTCCATGGTATCCCCTCAAGCTGGCAGGGAAGGGGAGTGAGAGTAAGAAGCGGTAAGGTCGGCCCAGTGAGGTAGAAAGAGACCTGTGAGTCCGGCCTGGCACTTCCTGGGGGGCCTGCAGTCCCTACCAACCAGTGTGGTATGGGATCTCCATCCTAGCCGTGCAGTGTCAGCCTGGTGCAACAGGAGGGCCCAGAAGGCCCCCGTGTTTTCCGGAAAAAAGTGCTCACCCTGTCCTGAACTCAAAACCCTTTCCAGCTCAGGAAACCTTGCCTCACTCGTGCTGACCTTAATCTTTATGTCATTTCAAAAAAAAAACTCCTCCTCCTCACTCCGTTTTAATTTTTCTTTCTCATTTTTAAGTGAATTTAATTGTAAGGAAACTTTCTTGCTCTACGGGGAAGAGGTCTGTTGCTTGACAGGCAAACAGGGCAGCTCTCCCCTATCCACTACCCCTCCGCCATATGTGACCTCTCTGCTTCCCTTGCAGTTACTAAGCTGTGTGTAGCTAGTGAGCAGCGAGGTGTTTGACACGGGAAAGCCCACAGCCTCCTACTTGTCCTGACAGCATCCCTCTGTTGATCCTTCCTGCAGTCAGTCGTGGCCCTTGCATTGCTCTGGTCTAGGCGTTACTGGCAACACACAGTATCGGAAGCAAGAGACCGCCGTGCCTGGAGCCAGTGTTTCCCTGCAGCAGTTTTGCTGTTGATGTTCACAGTACTGTAACTAGTAACAGACTTGATCACAGTCTCCTCGTGCCCCTGCAAGCCTGCACAGGCACGATCTCATCAGGGTTCCAATCTGTTAGATTGCCTTTAGACAAAAAAGAAAACAAAAAAATAAAATTCTGACGTTTCAGCTGTCTAACACAAAACAATACCTCGAGGTACATTTCCCCTGCAGTGTAGACCCTTAACTCCCCTCCTTTTCTGACATCGGTGGGTTATCCTTGGAAAAATATGAACATGTAGATAGCGGGATAACTTTTACAATTTTTCTTTGCTGTGAAAGTAACCCTAAAATATGATGTTTTCCACTTCTTTTTTTAAAGCCATCAGAAGTTTCAGATCTTATTCTTTCATGTTTAAGAAGAGAAAGCAGAACAGGTCAGGGGAGTGGTCTTGCATTTGTGGGGTGATGTTCTCTCCATTGCCTCCCATACACAGTGACGACAGACCAGTGTTTAAACCCTGCTCTGAATAGATGCCATCTATTCTAGCTCTAGTTCCAGGGTAGGGAGTGTCTGGATATCTCTCTTCCAGAAGATCCATCCCCTCCAGGGACTCCAGAATGTTTTCTCCTGAGACCTTGAGTTCTCAGCCTTTCTTGGTTCAAACACACACACACACACACACACACACACACACACTTTGAGTAACTGAGTAGCATTCTGTAGATCATAAAGAGAATCAGTCCCTGGCATTTCAATTTTGTGCTGTAGAATTCATAGCCGTGTCACTTTGCGATGCTCTGGAAATGAATTGATTTCTTACTTAGAAGGAGAGTCAGCTGAGATGTGCAGGCAACCTCCCTGAAAGGCCCGCGCACCCTCAGGTGTCCCTCCCTCCACAAGGCTTGAAGCTGACTTTAGGGAGAGGTAAATAACGAGTGCTGCTTGTAGGGATCTGTCAGCTACTGCTCTCCTAGATTTGGCCGCTCACGAGGCAGGACCAGAATAGATCGTTTTGAATAGCTTCTTCGCAAACCCCCTAGCTCCTCCCCATCTTAAAGATAAACCCTGTATCTTTCAGGAAGCCCTTTTTAGGTTGGGCTCACTGATCTTTGTCTACTGACGACTTCCTTTGAGGGAAGAAGCTTGATGATAAATGCACGCATATCCACCACCCACCTTCTGATCTGGGCGCTGTCGACCTGTGAATTTTATTTCTGTTGTTTGTGTGGAAGCCCTTTTCTATCAGTCTCCTTCCTCTGGTCCCTCCTGAGTTTTTCCTGCCCTTCTGTCCCTCTGCGATGCTCCCAAAGGGCTCTGCTGATCTCTGCACTTCTGTCCTGGGACACTCCCCCCCACCACCCTTTGCACACACCAGTGACCAAAGTGTGTCCAGTGATCTCACAGAAGACCTAAAAAATGGTGCATGCACCATGAATGTGCTCACAGAGACACGTGCACAAGATTCTGCACCCTTGGCCTTAACCTCAGTATGACTTAAGGTGCAGGAACATTTTTAACAGGTTTTAAAAAAACAAAAAAACCCTTCCCAGAGGAAAAAAAATAAGCAGATGCAACGGCTCAACCATGCCCACTCCTAACGCTCCACTATTTGCTTATGACTTACTCTGTGCCCACCCCACCCCTCCCTGTTTCGAGTAACCAAAAACAGATAACAGAAGCAACCCGAGGAGAGGTTTCTGGACTATTTTCTCTTTCTCCATTTAGATGGAGATATATATGCTGCTTTGGGTTCCATAATCCTAGGGGGCTATGTTTACATAGTAAAATACATCCTACCAAATCAGGAAACTGAATATGGGAATCTCTGCAATGAGAGTTAGGTCACTGATGGTGAACAAGAGAAGTGAGGGCCCTGGGGGATGGTGCAGAGGAGAGACGGAGCAGTGCCACCTGACGGCCTGGGACGTGTGGCTCCTCCCTTCGCTTCTCTCCTTGTCCCCTTTCACAGAAGGTGCAGAGAAGGGCATCAGAAAGAGGCTGGATCTTTCAAAGGCAGCTTTCCAACTTTGCACACAAACAGGTAACAGGAAGGTACAGCAAAAATCCTCTCATCTGAAACACTGTCCGCAGAAACAAAACCTGTAAACATGACTAAATAGCTGCACAATTTTGATGCTCTCTGCAAGTTACCTAGAAGTGTTTTGTTTTTCTTATACTTGAAATAGCTTTTACAATGTTATTTTGGTGGCTTTCTTTTCTCTCTACTGGTGGGCCATAGAGAAAGTGGATGATGGGATTTAAGGAAGTTTGAGGGGAGAAAAGGGAGGCTATGGCATTGTCTTTTTTTTTTTTTCTCTTAAACATAGAGGTTTAATCAAACTCCCATATGTTGAAATTGCTCCTCATATGACTGGTTTTACATGGACACAGAAACTAGGCACTTTAGAGGTGCACTTGCATGGCAGGCTGGGCCCCCCTTTTCTATATTTTATTTTACTTTTTTAGTATAGTGGTACTTAAAATCACTGGTTCACTTAAAAAACAAACAATAAAATGTTAAACTCTACTAATGTACAAATAAGCTGAAAAGTTGCATTTTATGTGTATTTTTTGCCATAGCAGGTACTGTATTTCTCATGCTGGATTTCAAAAAAAAAAGTCAAAAACAAAAAAAACTAAAGGGTGGTCTTTTATTGGATTGTGACAGGTTGAGTAATAAGGAATTAAGTCGTTGTCATTTCATTAAAACTGAGAGATGATGTAATGCATATATGAGTTTTCTGAAGGGTTTTTTTGGGCTTTTAAGCAGCTTATTTTTGTTTTTGTTTAGTTTTTTATTTTATTTTATTTTGGAAAGATATGATTGTATTATGTGCAACTCAGTTGCTTACATTATAACTACAAAATATTTTTGGGTTCCTGGAAAAAAAAAAAAGAAAAAAGACTAATAAATGTGTTTGGCTGCTAAGCATTTATTGTGGTTTCCTGTTTTATTTAGCCAGTTTAATTTGCTCGTCTGTTGAATGTTTGTATTTCTTCTACTGTACTCCCTCGCCCTGCCCCACACATAAACGCTGTCTGACATTCAGCATCTGGACTGGGCCTCCACTTTGTCTATCTTGTCTTGTTACGTTTGTGTTGCCGGAGTTGTCAGGTTGACCAGCCGCTGGTGGGTGTGTGCTCCTTGCTGCCTGCCACGCCGCCGGGTTCAGAGTCTCTGAAAGAAGTTCAGGTTCTCCTGCTACCTTTCGTTGTCATCCCGTTTGAGCCTCATGTGCATCTGGAGCGAAGACACTACAGAGTGGAGGAGGGCAGAGGGATGATGCCTGCCGGGGCTCTGCTGCAGCCCGGGAAGGTGACAGCGTGCCAGCTCTGTCCACGAAGCCACCTGCCAGCGCCCCCGCCTTGCTTCCGGTGCTCACCACTGTGGAGGAGCGGGAGAGCCTTACCCTGAAAGCCAGCTTGTTCCCATCTGAACACTTTCTTACTTACTGTTAGCTGCTAGAGACTCGTTAGACATGTGACCATGCAACAGCGCCAGAAGGGCAAAGGGGAGCAATGGAAGGAAACTAAGACTTAGTAATTCCCAGGTAGTGTCGTGTCTGACTTCATTCTCAGAATGCTGTGTGAAATAGATAGTGGCAAACCCATTTCATGAGGAACTGCCGTTCAGCATAATTTAATCAGCTACTAGTAGATAACACTGACTGATTGCTTCCTATAATATTTACATTAGGGCACTGCTCTAAGCATACCATGTAAATATTCATCACTTAATAGAAACTTGCTTCAGTCACCATGCTAGGAACCCAGATTGGATTCCAAAGTTGTCACGCCAAAATGCCTGGGCTGAAAGACACCTGGAATTCTAAGAAAATGGTCTTAAGCAAGTCTGCTGTACAAAGTGGTAGGCTATATACCATCCAATTCTTATCATAAAATAAGTAACACCAGGAAATGTGAGGTCAGGAGAGGTGAACTAGATGTCAAAAACACCTTGCAGGCCTACCTATATCAAGTAAGTGCTGTATTTGTGGAATTGAGATCATAGCAAAACCTATGAAGACCTTTATCACCAAAGACTTTATTTTAAATTTTGGATATTTAAAAAATGCATAAACGTCTAAGGGGGGGTGTGTTTTAGAACTGAAGATGGTTGTCAAGACTTTAGCCTCTGACTCAGCCCTCTTCACCGCTGCGGGCTCTGCTGTCACCTTAGGTGACTTCAGCGTCCACTTGGAAAATCCATCCTAACTGCCAGCTTTCTGCACTCCTTCCCCCAGTCACCCTGGCCACACGTGCCCATACTCACACCAAATTGCTCCCCTCCAGAATCACTAATTTCAGCATCCTTGACCTTGACTTCCTGTCCTCCCAAACTGGTTCCCCCTCCTCTTTGGCTTCATTTTGACCTCATCAGCCATCCCAGGACGCTGGCCGATTTACTTTCTTCGACTCCATCAGCCCTCTCCTTTTCCTCATTTCCTTCCTAATCCAGTTTAGATTTTATAGCCTATAATTTCAATAATATGGTTGCTAAAATCCCCACTTTGGAAAAACCCTATTTTCTATTTTCCACCAGCAACCAAAAGCAGCACCACTTGGGGAAAAAAGTCACTGCGGGGCAAATAAGGACGCCTGTAAATCTACTGCAGCCAACCAGCAATGAGACCTTGACACTGCCAGCAAGCATCCTGTGTCCGCTGATATGTGGAGAAAATTAGAGGTATCAGAAGAATTTCCCCCCAAATTGCTGCTTCCAAACTATAATCAAGTGAGGTGCTCCCCCTTCAAGTGCTGGTTCCTCCAGTGCTTGAGATCCTTTCCCTTCCTGCCCACTTGGCTACTTTTAACTTCCCATTCTTTTTCTTTTATTTTTTTCGTGGTACGCGGGCCTCTCACTGTTGTGGCCTCTCCCGTTGTGGAGCACAGGCTCCGGACGCGCAGGCCCAGCGGCCATGGCTCACAGGCCCAGCCGCTCCGCGGCATGTGGGATCTTCCCGGACCGGGGCACGAACCCGTGTCCCCTGCATCGGCAGGCGGACTCTCAACCACTGCACCACCAGAGAAGCCCTTAACTCCCCATTCTTCGTTCTCTCTTCACGTGATAAATTGTCACCCCCATCCCCACCCTAAGCTACTCTATGCTCTTGTCCTGCTATATTTTGTTCACAGAACTTAACCACTTTTTAAAATTATCTTGTTTAGTCATTATTATCCATCTCCCTCACTGGAATGTAAGCACCAGAAAGGGCAGAATTCTTTTCCGTGTTCTCCAGCTCGAGCGCCTAAAACCTCTATGGCTTTAATTACCATCTGTGTGCTACGACTGCTAAATTTATATTTCCAACCCTTACCGCTGGGCTCTAGACTTGTAGATGTAATTGTCTGCTCAACATTTTGAAACACCTGGATATCTTAATGGCTCTGCAAACTCAATAAACCCAAAAGAGAAGTCCATCCTGCCTGCTTGTCCCTCCTCCCACCCCATGGTAAATGGCATTGCTAGCCTTTTAGCAATAAAACCTAGAGACCTAGGAGGATCAGTTGAGTCTGCCCCCTTCCTTACTCCCCATAACTAACCCATCACCAAGCTGGATTGATTGCACCTCTTAATCTCTTCCTTTCCTTCTTTTCCTCTGCCACTTAACTTCCTTTGTCCAGGCTAGATCATCTACACCCCTAGGTCTCACCTAGTCCACTGCATTAGCCCAACTGGTTTCTCATTTGGCATTCACTCCAGTTCCCCACCCCCAATCCATTCTACACATAAGAGCTGAGATATTTTTCAAAACATAAATCTGATGAAGTCATCCTCCAGCCTACCACTTTTCGTGGTTTTCTATTGCTTAGAATAAAACCCTAAATATCCTTATTTCCTACCAGGTTCCCGTGGTCTGCCTTCCACCTGCTCCTCCAAATTTACCTCCCTCTCTTTTCACCTTTGCCCTCTCCACTCAAGCCTCATCAGCTGACCACTATATCCCAGTGCCTAGTACAATGCTTGGCACACACTAGGCACCACTGTGAAATGAACGATCCTCATGAGTAACAGAATTTAAGAAACTAGGTATTTTAAAAGCCTGAAATAAAAACAAAAGGATAGATGTAAAATTCCCGATTTGGGGACTTCCCTGGTGGTCCAGTGGGTAACACTCCACGCTCCCAATTCAGGGGGCCCAGGTTCGATCCCTGGTCGGGGACCTAGATCCCACATGCATGCCGCAACTAAGAGTTCTCATGACACAACTAAGAGTCCACATGCTGCAACTAAGAAGTCTGCATGCCACAACTAAAACATCCCATGTGCCGCAAGTAAGACCCAGCACAGCCTAAATAAATAAATATTTTTAAAATAAATAAACTTGCCCTATATTAGGTTCATTAGGTTTATAAATAAATAAATAAAATTCCCGATTTAGAGATGTTGCTTTAGATAACACTGACAACCAGCTGCAAGTGTCTAGGTGGCCTTTGAAGATTAAGAACCAAAATTTTGGGGACCTCCCTGGTGGCACAGTGGTTAAGAATCCACCTGCCAATGCAGGGGACACGGGTTCAAGCCCTGGTCTGGGAAGATCCCACATGCCGCAGAGCAACTAAGCCCGTGTGCCACAACTACTGAGCCCGCACTTTAGAGCCCGCGAGCCACAACTACTGAAGCCCGTGTGCCTAGAGCCCATGCTCCGCAACAAGAGAAGACCCCACTTGCCGCAGCTAGAGAAAGCCCGCGCACAGCAACAAAGACCCAACACAGCCAAATAAATAAATTTACATTTTTTAAAAAAATTTGGAGAAACCTGTGGACTCAGAAGATAAGACTTGCAGACATGCAGTTTCCAAGGGGAGTAAAGGTGGGTTAAATCTTGAGGAAATTCCCACCACTTCCTTTTCCAGGAGTGTGAGAAGGAAGGATCGTCAAAGAAAGAGCAGTCAGAAAGGGAGGAGAATCAGTATACTTTAGTTTTCAAAGCAGGAGGGAGGGGTTGTCAAAAATGCTAAATATTTCAATCAGCCAAAAGGGATGACTTAATACAGGAAAAAAGGAAAACTACTTGACTCAGAAATCAAAATGGTTTAAAGATGTACGTTGGGAAGCTTGCTCCCGGTTACCTGGCCTATCCCGTTCCCTGCGTGTCCACCCCACCCACCCCCACGTAGCCTTTATTAGTGATTCTTTATGCAAATAGGCAAACATATTATGGCAAAGGGACTTCTGAATTATTAGAGGAAGTTACTGGTGATCAATGAGAGTGCAGTTTAGAGGAGACGAGAGGGCAGAAGCTGCGTCACAGTGCTAAGGAACAAAGAAGGGAGGGGAACAAATGTGTTGAATACGGGAGCCCCAGACACTGAGCCTGGATGTCAGCATCTATGTCACCTGCCTTTGCTCCTCACTCTACACCTGCAGGTCATGAGCCGTATTTCACAGGTAAGAAGACCCAAGTGCCAAAAGATTATAAGTAATCGCCCAAGTCACACAGCTAGTAACATCAATGCCAGTTGGTGAAGAGGCGGCCAGAAAGGGCTTTTGTGTTAAGGGGGTAACAGCAAGTGAAGGTGTTTCTATAGTGGAAGAGATATGTGCGTTTAAAAAAAAAAAAAG